CACTTCAACACGAGTAGAAGTAACTACAACTTCTACTGGCTCGACGTGTTTCCTTGGACTGGAGCTCGTAGAAGCCCCACCTTGGGAAGAAGAATTCCCAAAACCACCTTTGGGAGGTATCGTCTGCGATACCTTCGCGTTCTTGCACCTAAATTGTTGATGGCCGTACTCACCGCAGTTAATGCAAGCTCCTTGCAAATAACGGTCTCACCACACATCTTGATCCAGACTCGCCCTCACCCAAGCCAGAGTCTTGTTCGAGTTTTGAGTCTGCCCCAGACTCTTCTGTTGACCACCTTTGCCGCAGCCAGGTTGCTACTCTCAACACTATCCTCACTTCCAAACTCTGTTTCGTCCACAAGGTCGAAAACATCGTCGATCTCGGTTTGATAATCGTCGAAATCAACCATCATCAATCGACTACCCTTTTTCTTCCACTCTTGTGGACTCTTCTTCTTTCTTCCATCCATCCAGGGTTGTTGGGGTCCTCCTAGCCTAGCCTCTAAGTCTAAGGCCTTCTTGCTAAAGGAGTCTGGAGTGTGATATTCGATGCCGGCCTCGCTGCCCAAGAAGTTCTTGACGTTTGTGAGAAGACATCTTAGGAACATGGTCATTAAGACCTGCGGATCGTTAACGTACGTCGGAGACAACAATGAGACGCTCCACGACAAAGGTAAGTTCTCGCACGAACTTGTACCTTTTACTATCAAGCCGGCTCAACGCATCAATGGCCTGCTGTCCTGCCGAGGGTTGTGCCATCGCGTTTCTACCAACCCCATGAAGCTCTCTAAAGTATGGGCCTTAGCCCAATCTTTCATTCGCCTGCCGAACCCTTTCGAGGCTACCAATCCATCTAGCCATCGGGCCGCCGATCCCTCGAGATACGAGGCAGCAGTGGGACCGGCTGCTGCGTAGCGCCAGCCGCTGGACCTAAAGATGAAGAAGCAGCAGTTTGTTGCCGCTGCTGAAGTACCACTTGGTGAACTGCTAAACTGAGACATAGAGGGGCCTGTCATCACCGGTGAGGAGATCGGTGATGGAAAAGCACGGGGCCAGAACTGGGCCCTTCCCATCCCCTGCACAATATCTGGTCAAGGGCATTTTGTATAGCATCCGGTTTGCTGCCCATGTAAGCATGCATGGACAATAGACCCGCCTTGAGGATTTTGCTGGTGTCATCAAGGGCATTGTCATCTAACCCTTCTACAACAAATTTGTCTGCCCAGACTGCCCTCCTATTCTCTAGTCTGGCTTTCCTATTTCTAATCTTTGTTTCTCTTTCGGTGGCTTCTCTAAGTTCCTTCTCTAACTGTAAGAGGATCAACTCTGCTTGCTGGAGTTCAATGGCCTCTCTTGTGTGTGGAGATGGCGAGCTGTGCTGCGAGCCTGCCATCTTAACTAGAAGAATTGCTTGGTCCCATCCCGCTGGACGTGGATTGAGAACTGGTCGGCATGCCGAATGTCTGCTGACTAGAGGAAGCAGCGGAAGTAGCCATAGCTGCTGCAGTGGCTGTTGCCGCTGCAAGCACTTGCTCGGCTGCTGCTGCCGCTTCTATAGCCCTCTGCAAACATTCAGCTACTACTTCCCGTCGTATAGCCCTCTCTCCCTCAGGTGGTAAAGCTTGGTGCACGATTAGGATCCTAAGGGACTCCTGACGTGCCACCCTTCTTCCTACAGATCTATCCTCACCACTGCCTGGTCCACTCATCAGCTAGGCAGACGCTGTCTGCACTAGTGCCCTCACCAGGGCCTACCACAACATGTGTCTGACCGGGCTGAAAAATAAATAAAAATAAATTAATATCCTGCAAGTCACCTAGGCTACCGTTCAAGTGGTATCAACAACATATACACAGACTGAACACAAGATCTAATCCTACTTCGATTAGTTTCACTCAGAGCAGCATCGAACAGAACTGGCGGTGATAGAACACTACAGTTCTAATCTAGGTTGTCCATTAGGTGTTAGCAGTCTGTCCAACTGCTAGTCAAAATAAAAATAAATCATGTGCGCAGATGTATGCGCAATGGAAATAATTGTGATTGTAGTTGAGCACCAATTGGAACCTTCCTTCCCCCAACGTGCCTGTCCGCATCATCGAGCAGCGTTGTCTAAGGTGCGCATTAACAGCCCACCCCTGTGCCCAGGAACTCGCTTATGACCAGCACGGCCCTTTGTTTATCCTCGCGTGCAACGAGCCTTCCATCCGACTGATCTGGCTGATCAAGAGGCAGTTTAAGGACAGCCCCCAAGGTCCTAAAAAATTATTTGACGTTGCAGACAGGACAGCGATCACAGCCAGTATTCAGAACAGATCCCTGCCAGAAATATTTATAGACGATCTGGTAAGCGTCTTGCATAGGACTGGTCAGTCCATGTTCCCTCTATTCGCGCAACAAAGAGTGAAAAGGGCAAAGCAAAAAGGACAACGCAACATGGCCTGCGTGTACTACTACCATGCGTTGGCATAGTGACCGTGGCCCGTGCTTCGACCAGGGCCCTTCAGAGGCACCCCCTTCTCCAGCCAGATGCGCCACCAGGAAGAATGTTGACTCTCAACAGTAAGAAGAGATCGAGAGGGAAGATGAGGTAAGGCAACAACGTACCGGAAGATAACTGCCCCCAACCACAAATTTCTCACTAATTGAGCCGGCGTGCATTTCGATGACCGGCCGTAGCCTCGGTACCACCCACAACACAATGCAGTGTCACATCAACATAATATAATCATCACACGTACATCCGCTGTCGCCACAGCCTCCACGCTGTGCCGCAGCCTTCCGGTGAACTCACTTCTACCCGGGGGTGGGTGTTCATGCTAGCTGTGACGGGGCTGAGGCAACGAGGCTGGGATAGAGAGGGAGAGAGTGAGAACACACACACACACTCACTCAACTAGACACAGACTCAACACGACTCGACGGACGCAGACACGAAGTGGCAAAGTCGCAAAGTCGAAGTCTTGAATCTCCCGAACACAATGTCGAAGCAAGTCACACTGAGTACGAGTACAGCAGGAAACTGGTACAAGACTGGTCCCCGTACCGTATGGGGAGCCGGTATAAGTACCGGTGACACGTACGGTACCAGGGGCATTTCTGCAAAGGCCGCGGGGGCAGAACTGAAAAATGCGGTATTTGAAAGTGGCGCCCGAATTGCAGTGTGGCGCCAGTTGTCCAAAATCCAACGGTACCAAAGGAGGGGTTTGGAAAAAGGGTCCCAGGCCGAAAACGGGATGCAGCCGAAACAGCAAAAAGATAGACCAGGGATCAAGCCCTGGCGGAGTCCGTAACACTAGCGCCAATGTATCCTTACTGCATAGAAGCACCGTCAGCACACCAAGTAACAATGTCGCCAGCGCCAGATAATGGCGATCTCGAACCAGCTCCGATACCAAATTGCAAGGAATATGAGCGAGAGACAGAAAACCAAGTTGCAAAATTACACGTGTCCAGATAGTAATGTACCAAGCAGAGGGCTCGAATGCACCAAGATTCCATCCAAATAAGAGCAAAGCAGTAAACTCGTGCGCCAATGTTATCGCCCTCAGGCCCCACCAACACAGTATCCAATGTCGCTCATCTCTGTCTTCTGCTCAGCGCCCAGTCTACTCTACTGAGCCTATCTACATTCTTGAAACAGGATCACTCCGACATTGAAGACCAACGTACATGACGTCCACACCAATGCCGACCTCCCACATACACCAGGTATGTTAGGTACGTTCTCTCTCCTCTCCTCATCAGACCTTGACCACTCATGCGCCTCCTACCCGAAGACCACCTTCGCCCATCACCCGCATGGGCCCCTGCAGTTCGACTATGGCTGCCGTGTGCCCGCTGCCCTGCAGCGCCCCTCTCACCTCATAGCGCCCGCTTGCGCCCCAGCCAGCAGCGCACATGCAGATACTTGCGCAGCAACGCAGCAGTGTATCCGCATTGCCTGCCCAGGCCAGTATGCCCACCTCTGGCCAGCGACCTTCCTATATGGAAGTCACGGCCCCTGTTTGGCTGCGAGGACCTGGCTAAGGAAGCTCCCAGTAGCTTCCAGTCGGGCCCCAGTGTCTGCGCCCAGGCCCTGTCCGACAGTTGGGGGGCTGGGCCCTTTCTGATTGGGCACCTCCAGGCAGCCTCCAGGCTCCAAGTGTTTGTCGTCTTCTCATGGGCTCGCTCGGCCTCTGTGACGACAATGCTGCATTCTGATTCACCCGCGGCCACTTCGTGATGTGTCGGCCTCACACTCGTGTGCCCAGGGCACAACCACCCGGCCCTGAGCTCAATTGCTTGACACAGCTGCTGTTTCTGGGAAAAGCCCAGGGAGAGGCTCACGCTGCACTTCAACCAACTAGCGTGCTGCAACTGTTACCCACCTTGGAAAATGCTGGGATAAGGCCTCTCGTGGATATTCAGGCCCGCCTTCACTTAGGGCAGGCACGATGCTTGCTAGGGGCCACAGCCCAGATTATGTGCATGTTGGCTAGCGCCCCGTGAGGGCACATTCCTCACCGTACTCAATAATGCTGACAAAAGAATGATCTCAATGTTAGACTACCTGAAGCGACCTCCTCTCGTACCATTGAACTTATTTGAGTACTACTTCACTCCCTTCAGTTTCCCTCTCATTGCCGTCTCCAACACCATAGAGAAAAAGAGTTGCATACACTGACAGACAGGCAACTCAGTTATATACCTTTGCACAAGCTATCACATGATCACACATCATAATGGGAGTTCACTGTCCACCCACTATCAGGAGAAGTCATTTGCGACATCGAGTTCATTGCACAACGCATGCATGTCATGAGACGCGACAGTTTTGTGCAGCATGACTATGTCAATGACGCGATGATGTTTTCTTTGCTATGACAGATAATGACATGGGGAGGTTGCATCAATTAACTCAGGAATCATGCGAAGGTTGGGTTGAAGTTCAGAGGGGCGGAGTGCAGCAAACAAATCATGTTCCTGTAGGCAGCAGCAAACACACAAAGTGACGTACCTTGGAGTGTGTGAACTTGAGACCGTGAGCAGTGCTGACAACCACTGTTCGATCTGTCGGTTTGATCACATTCTTTCCTCTGAGCTTAATTAGGGCAGATAAAGCGACCTGCAAGCCAAGGAGGACAGGAAACATTTCTTGAATGAATGGCCCGCAGAGCAGAGAAAAGGAAGAAAGCATCTGACCAGAGTCCCATGACACTTCCACCGGAGCTGTCTTACCTTGCTGCCCCTGATTGGGGCGTGGACCCGTGGAGAAATGCCTGGCAGTCGACTTCCAGTTGTCCTATATCATGATCCAAGGTCCACGTCATGTGGGACTTGGATTTCCAGTAGGTGCCCCATAAGCAGTATCAGCTAGATCTACCGATGAGGTCAATGGAAACCTACTGGAAATATCACAAGCTCATTACTCTGTCACGTAAACAACACTGCTTCTACTTGTAGATCAGGTTTGTGTCACTGGGAATGTCCGTCTCCGTTTGAAACCTGGAGACTTCTTGTCAATTTATAAAATTCCCTGACCCAGGAGAACATTTTTTAACTGATGTGGCCAACCAGAGTTTAGCAGAGTTCCTGTTCTGGAGGGAGCAAACCATCCTTGCGGCGCATTAAGTGCACGCTGCTTGCGCACATCTGGCGCAGCACCCATGGTGCATCGCGGAAGTAGGGGTTCGGAACTTTTTGATGCCCCCACATGCCCCCCCCCAAAAAAAACAAGGCTGCGTGGAAATGGAAACCGGCCGCACCAAGGCCCCAAAGTTTTCTTTCGGGGGAAAGACTTGCAGACTTCAAATTCAAATTCCGCAGGTCTTTCCCCCAAAAAACATTTTGGGGCCTTAGCGCAGCCGGTTTTCCTTTCCGTGTGGCCATTGTAGTTTCTTGCGCCAGTGCTACCTGTTGCCTCCATCATTGTCGACAAGGTTGGAGGCTCCTGCAACAAGTGATGAGGGAGGCAGGACGGACCAGGAGGATGAAGGACGCAGGACGCAACGGCAGTAGACAGCGAGACGACACAGCAGCATGAGGCAGCAGCAGGAGGCAATGGAGACAGGTGGGCAACCATGACGGTGGAATACCACAAGCTCTCTCTCTCTCTCTCTCTCTCTCTCTCTCTCTCTCTCTCTCTCTCTCTCTCTCTCCCCATACCCCCACCATCCCTCCGTCTTTTCCCATCGCTGATCCTTCCTCCCTCCTTGCTCCTCCGTCTGTTCTCCTCCGCAGCGACCTTCCTCCATCGACACTAATCCGACATCCAGCCCTTCCCCTCCCTACTGCCCCTACATCTTCCACTGTTTTGTTCCCCCGTCGTCACCTTCCTCCATCGTCACTCCTCCGCCCTCCTCGTCTCCTCCACCTTACTCCTCCATCTGCTTTCTATGTCACCGCGTTTGTCCATCGCCGATCCTTCCTCCCTCCTCGCTCCTCCAACCGTCCTCCTCTGCTGTTGCCTTCCTCCATCGTCCGCCCTTCATCCTCCATCCCTCAGATTCCCTCCTCATCATTGTATCACTCCTCCTTGCTCCCCTGACATCTTTCCCCGTTGTCACATTCCTCCCTCCTACTCTTCCTCTCCTTTTGCTTTCCTCCACGCGTCTTTGAAACTCTTCTTGAGAGTTTTTCTTTCTGTTTCAGAAAAAGGCAAAAAAAAAAGAAAAGGCCGGGTGGTGCACGTGTAATAACCCTGTTCAGCAGTCGACCTGGGGCCCAAACCTTAGCCCCAGGCCACGCAGTCTGTGGAGGACTGCGCCGGGCTGTGTAACCAACACATGCCCCGGCCTGAGTAAACTGCGTACGGCTGTGGGACCGAACGCCAAGACTTAGGAAATCAAAGGTCAAAGTCAACTGTCAGTCAAAGTACCATGCCAGGTCTTGGATCAGATTCATTCACTTGTTGAGTGCAGGTACCCAGACTACGACCCAGGCCAAAGAAGATACAGTTGCAGATCTATCCAGACCCTCCAGGCAGGGAGATCTGGACGGCTGAGGTTGGATACTACCGGGGATCAGACCCCGAGTCAACACTATAAGAGCATTGGCCCCTTGACTTTGGGGATTCTGGCTGTCTTGCGTTGACGCTGTTTTCAGCGCCTGACTCTCGCAGCCTTGGTTTGACGCTGCGAGACTGGAGGAAGGCCGGCATTTGCTGACATGGTGAGTTACCGCTGGCTGGCTTGCTATCTGGCTGGCGGCTGTCTCTGATCTGCTGACGTGGCAGTCGCCACGTATTGCTGCTGACGTGGCGTTGCCACGTGTCGTACTGTCGGATCCTTACGACCGGCTATTGATCATCGGCTTCGTTACTTCAAGGAGGGGTCGTGACTATTCGGGATGAGATCAGGACTTGTGAGGTGTTGTGAATACGTACCTGATGTCTTCATGACGACGAGGCTCCAGCGCTAATTAATGTATTGATCGGTGCCACGTGGCACCCGGAGGCTGAGTCTCTAATTTGTATTCAGATCATTACTGATGTGGGGTTGTTGTCGTAGGAGGATCCCGGAGAAGGAGTGGGCCTTATCCCTCTCCCTTGTCTAATCTCCCCCACCTCTCTTCGTCCGTGTATGATTATCTCACCCCCCACTTTCTTACTGGATACTAATGTCGTTGAAGATCTATCATTGGTTCGATAATCTTGGCTTTCAGTGTCGACATTGTATCCACGACTTGGGTTCATTGCA